GAAGCACAGAGAGTTTAAGGTGATATCAATTAGCTCCCATGGGGGTCAATTATACCTCTCTATGAAGATGACTTCCAAATTTATATTTCTAGCCTTCTTCTCTCTCTTGAGATTCATTCAGTTCTAGATGCCCAATTGTCTGCTGAACATCTCTCCATGAATGTCTAACTGAAATCTCCAAATCAATATGTCCAAAATGGAACTTAATTGTCTTCTCACTAAACCTAAATCTCTACCCCCCTCCCCCATTTTCCTGCTTCTCCTGGTTCGAAACTTCAAAGTCAACCTCAACTCTGCTTTCTCTCACCCTTTATAGCCACTTCACAAATATTAGCTTCACAAGAACTAGATGGGGGGGGGGGGGGAGTCAGACATGACTGAACAGCACAGTTCATGTAAAAAAGATATCTAGATTTTAGTGGACCATAAACCCAAAAGGAAACAGTTGACAGTATCCCCCCCAAAAAAATCTAACCTGTTTACTCATGTGCAAAATGAGGAAGTAGGACCAGATGGCCTTCAAAGTCGCTTGCCTCTAGGTCTCTGATCTCATGATCTTTTAGGCTTCATGAATGAATTCAGAGCATAAGGAATTAAAATAAGTTGCCAAAAAAAAAAAGGTTTTTGGGAACAAGTTAAAGTATAAAGTGGTTTTATATAAAAACATAAATTGTCTTGTATATTTTGATAAGCAACAGTACCAGCTTTTATTTGTAAAGCAGTTTGTGGCATTGGAGGAAAAAAGGATTCCACGTCTGTTGAAATGACTTATTATAAATGCAAAGAGAAGATAAAACATTAAAGAAACATATCTTCTAACTGTGTAGTGCATGGTTAATTTAAGCTTCTGTGTACTACAGTATATTCCATTTCTCCTAAGTTTGTGTATTTGCTGATTATTATTACTTGATTATCTATACTTAACTTTTCCTAACAACTCTAGTGTTATAGCATGCTTTTTAATAAATGTCATGACATCTATACTCTCTTAAAAAAAAATAAGTTGCCAAGACTTGTTGATTCTACTTCTAAGACATGTCTCTCTCCCTGTCTCGCTATCAAATAGTCACCACCCTTATCACCTCTGAATAGGATACTGTAATAGCACTCTTTTTTGGGGGGGGGGAATTTATTAACTTATTTATTTATTTTAGGTTTTAATTTTATTTTACTTCAGTTCCAAATTCTCTCCCCTTCTTCCTTCATTAAGAAGGCAAGAAAAACAAAACCCATTACAAATATGTACAGTCATGAAACACATATTTCCACATTAGTCATATTAAAAAAAAAAAAGAACAAGAGGGAGAGAGAAGACAGTATCCTTCCATTGCACTCTGGATAGCATACTTCATCATGAGTCCTTTGGGACTGTGGTTGGTTATTATATTGATCAGATACTGTCTTTCAAAGTTGATTATCTTTACAATATTGCTGTTACTATATAAATTAGTCTCCTGGTTCTGTTCACTTCACTTTGCCTCTCATAGAAGAGAAGTTAATGGAAGTCTTCCCAGGTTTTTCTGAAACCATTTCTTACAATGCAATAATATTCCATTTTACTGATATAATTCATTCATATTAATTTGTTCATAATTTGTTCAATCAATCCCCAATTGATGGGCACCCCCTCAAGTTCCAATTCTTTGCCACCACAAAAAGAGCTGCTATAAATATTTTTGTATATATGGGTCTGTTTTCTCTTTCTCTTTTGGGGTATGGATCTAGTAGTGGCATGATTGAGTCAAAGAGTATCCATGCTTTAATAGCTTTTTTGGCAACTTTAATAGCTTTTTATGTATTTTGTTGTTGTGTTCAGTCATTTCAGTTCTGTCTGACTCCTCTGACTCTTCATAACCCCACTCAGGGTTTTCTTGGCAAAGATACTGCAGTAGTTTGCCATTTCCTTCTCCAGCTCATTTTACAGATAAAGAAACTGAGGCAAACAGGGTTATGTGATTTGCCCAGGGTCACACAGCTAGTAAGTGTCTGAAACCAGAGTTGAACTCACCAAGATGCTTTCTTCCTGACTCCAGGCCCAGCACTATCTATTGTGCCAACTAGTTGCCCTTTGGGCAACTACCTTAGAGTTATTTTAATTTGCATTTCTCTATTTGTTAGTGATTTAGAGCATTTTTTTTTCTTATGGCTATGAATAGCTTGGATTTTTCCTCTGAAAACTTCATTTGTTTTGATCTTTGACCATTTGTTAATTGAGAAATGACTCATTTTTTTCAAATTTGATTCAGTTCCCTATATATTTTTAAAATGAGACCTTTATCAAAGAAACTTGCCTTCAATAGTGTTTTACTTAGTCTCTCTGCTTCCAACCTTTCCTTTCTCTAATTTATATTCCACACAGCTGTCAAAATAACCTTCCTGAAACAAATGTCTGTCCAGGTTACTCCCCTGCTCAAGAATCCTCAGTGGCTCCTTACTGTCTCTAGGATAAAATACAAACTCTCAGCTTGGCATGTGAAGCCCTTCATGATCTGGCTCCAAACTACTTTTCCAAATATTCAATACTACTCCCTTCACTGAGTCTACATTCCAAACAAACTAGCCTCTTTGCTGTTCCATTAACTCAGCACTCCATCTCTTTCCTCCCCACCTTTGCCTCAATTTTTTCCTTACTGAAATGTACTCTCTCTTCACCTCGGTTCCCTGGACTTCCCCCAGGTGTCACATCCTATCTCACTAATTAGTTCTTCTCAGAGTGTCTTGCATTTACTTATCTATGTACATGCATATAACTCCGGAAAGAAAGATAAGAATTTTAATTTTCTGTCTAGCGTAGTACATAGTAGATTATCAATAGGGTAGCTAGGTGGCACAGTGGACAGAGCACCATGCCTGGAGTCAGGGAGGCCTGAGTTCAAATCAATCTCTGATACATACTAGCCGTGTGACCATGAGATTGTTTGCCTCAGTTTCCTCCTCTGTAAAATGAGCTGGAGAAGGAAATGGTAAATCAGACCAGTATCTTTGCCAAAAAAATCCCAGATGAGACCACGAAAAGTCAGACACAACTGAACAAGATTCTTAATAATGCTTAATATAATTCTTTATTTATTTTTTGGTAAGGCAATTGGGGTTAAGTGATTTGCCCAGAATCACACAGCTAGTGAGTGTTATGTGTCTGAGGTCGAATTTGAACGCAAGTGGTTCCCACTCCAGGGCTGGTGCTCTATCCACTTCGCCACCTAGCTGCCCCTGCTTAATTTAATTCTTAATTTAATTGCCTGGAGCCACACATTTAATAAGTTATCATGGATGAGATTCGAAGCCAGGTCTTCCTGACTCCAAGTATAGAACTTTTCCTCCTTACTGCGTTACTCCTCTCAGAATCACCAAATTGGGCTGAAGAGAAACTCAAAAGTTATCTATCAAACTCACTCCTGAGCAAGAATCTTCCAACCCCAGGCCATATCCCTTATCTACAGGTGCTAAAGCTTGGCCCACCTCTTTCTCTTACACTCACTTAACCTCCTCCTCCCCACACTTCTACCCCCAGGAAACAAATTTCCTCAGTCTCCTTGGCTCTTTCACATGCAAAACAGGAGGTGGTGTGCCCCCTAGGAATCTTTCCTTCCTTCCATCTTTACTAACGAACATAGGGGGAAGGGTGTTTCCTAGGACTGAAGGGAGCTAGAGGGTCTGGGATCAGCCTACTGCAACTCCCCCTTCCCTCTTGACCCCCATCCCCATCTTCCCAGTGCGGGACAACTGGTATAGATGGCTAGGTACAGGCATAAGAGAGGCAGATTCAATATACAGACGCAATGTTTGGGCCCAATCTAATGGCTCTGGCCTGCTCCTGGAATTTCTCATGTTCCAGCTTGGCCATGGTGGAGGGTGCAGGAGGGAGCTCAGTTGTGGTTAGGGAAGGGACTCCTGCTTCCTTCAGAAAGCTACATCTTTAGTCCTGAGTCTCTGCGAAGCCAAAGTTTGGTGCCCTGCCTCAGTCTCCCTGAAGGAATACAGTCAGAATGCCATGGGGAGAGGTCGTGTGAACAGAACTAGTTAAAGATTGACTTAGGAGTCTGCACAGCCTGACCTTTGGCTCTGTAGCCCACGCTGTGCTGGGGAGACAGAGTAAGATACCCAGCTATCCTCTGGGTGCTAGGATGGGAAGGTTGGAGGAGTTTGGAGAAGGGTGAGATCAACACTAATCTTGATAGAGGTAAAGGAAAGCCCGACCACCGTGACCAAGGAGTGTCTCTCCTGACCACAGTTACCATACTGATCACCCTGACTGGGGAGGAAATGAACAGATCACATGAACCGCACTAACCCCAATGAGGGGCTGCATTGAGAAAAAGGGTGCACCAGCTCCAGTGACCAGAATGAGGCAGCAGCTTTAATAAGTGATGTAAGTGGGGACCCCTGTGTGTGGCCTAAAGAGGAGCCTAAGTGCACTCTCAGTAAAGGGGAAGACTTCGTTTAGAATCCTCTCCCCCAGCAGCAACAAGTTGCATGGCCTTGGGCAAGTGTCATTCTCTAGGCCTCAGTTTCCTTATCTGAAAAACGAAGGGGTCAGGGGCAAGAGATGTCTGAGGTCCCTTCAATAATGCCTGTAGCAACGTGTCAAACTTCTACGTAAATTCAGCTGTGATTTTCATTAATATTATTATTCCAATCAAAATCCTCGGGTTCTGAGCCTCAGACGCCCCTAGAGGACCTAGAGAGACCCCAGCGCTGGTTGTGGGGGTGGGGGGCCAGTGGGAGGGGGAAGGCGGGGTGGGGTGGGGGAAGAGAGCTGACAGAGGACCTCCCGTTCCTCAGCCATCCCAGTTAGGCCCCGCCCCTTCCCCGCCCAGGACGGGAGTGGGCGGGGTCACGAGGAGAAAGCTTAGACCGAGCGTCGAGAAGGCGGGGCCTGAGTGGGGCGGGGTTGAACACCGTCCTGCCCAGAGGCTGTCCCACCCCCTGTACGGGTTTCAGGCTTTCCCGCTCAGAATTCGAGCTGACGACATCTGTCGCCCATGATGTAACTTCCGGGCGCCCCAGGAAGTTGTCCTCTCTCTAGGTGTCGGAGCCAGGTGCGGCTATGCTTCTGATTCGGGCAGCCTTAGGAGCCTGGGGACCCGGTCGGGGCCTAACCCCAGCACGAAGGGTGAGGGCTGGGCCAAAGTGGGCCTAAGGTGGGGTAAAGGGAAGGGGTCGAGGGAGGTGCGAGGGCAGAGCTCAAAGGTCACCTGGGCTCCTCTCATGGGCTCCTCTCATCGCCTCCTCCCTGGACAGGCCCTGTCTACGCTGACCGGCGGAGACCTCGCAAGCCCGGAGCATGCGTTGACTACAGGTCAGGGGTCACTAGGGAAGGGGCGGGTTCAAGGGATAAGGGCTCCGGGGGCCGTGCTCATGCTCATCATACTCCCAAATTAGGACCCCCAAGGCCCGCCGGTGTGCCCCTGCTCCGCCGCTGTGAGCTCCCGGTTCCCCAGCACCGGACCCCGGTGCAAGCCTGGGTGGAATCCCTCCGGGGCTATGAGGAAACGTGCTTGGGCCTGGCAGACCTGCACCCCGATGTGTTCGCCGTGCCACCCCGGTGAGTAGGTTAGGACCCCACCGTAACTCCCACCCGACCTATTTATTAAGTGCCCGCCCACTCAATGCTACGTGAACTGGGTCACAAAGACAAAACCAAGTAGCTTCCGGCCCCCAACAAGTTAGCATTCCGTTCCCAACCTTACTGAATGAGGTAACTGTGACCTGCAGTCCCAGTCTGTTTTTGAAAGTCGCCTGCATAGACAAGCCCCCTGCCCTCACCCCCTAGCCTTCTGGAGTTCAGACCATCGTTCCTAACACATTTTCTCAAAGTAAAAACCTAACCCGACTCTTTTTAGTATTAAAAATATTCACATTTACCAAATTTTGCTGTTTGCTACCACCTTGCGTAGATGCCTCATCAAAGCATGTTAGGAACCCTGGTTCTTAAAAGCTATTCTAGGATACAAACTCTGGCAGCTCTTGCCTACCTGGAAGGGGTGGTAAGATTTCATCGCTGCTTGTAATCTCAGAAGATCATGTAGTTCAACCCTTTCATTTTAATGGGACTGTGAAGTGAAGCTTGAATATTTGTCAGTGGAGAGGAAACAGAGGGGTGAATCCACAGGTCCTTGTTGAATAATATACAGTATGATATTACACCGTGGAAAGCAAGATCTTTCAAAGCTATATGGGAAGAAAGGGGGATCATAGAAATCAGAGCACAGCTGTGAAGTGTGGATGGCTCAGTGGTGGAAAATGGATCTTGTGAGAAAGCAGAGTTGCTCAATTCTTTTTTTCTCTGCCAACTCTCTCTGCAACTAACAGTCAGAAAACTTCTGGAATCCCTGAAAGGTTAAGTGATTTACCACAGGGTCATAACAGCCAATAGTGTTAGGGGCTGGGAGTCTTCAAGCAAAGAGTGGATGGCCCCCTGTTGGTTCAGTTGTACAGGGGATGCATGCTGGTTTGGACTGGGTACCCTTCCTTCTCTGATTCTCTGAAAGTGTCCTGTGCCCCATCTCTTTCCAGTAGTGCTGCCAGGTCCGCTGTAAATGTTTGTTGTTGCCTAATGTTGCCCTTAGGAGAGCCATAACCCAGCCTAAAGCAACTACCTCCTCTCTACCACCTCTCACCCCGGTACAGTTCAACAAGCTGCACTATCCCGTGTGCTGGGGAGGGATGCAAGAACAAGATGAAGCAGTCCTGCCTGAAAGGGGCTTACTTTCTACTGGGGGATTATACACAGAGATATACCGGAACACACACATAGATAAGTAAATGCCAGCTGATTTGATGAAGGAGGAACTACTAACGACTAGAGGTATCAAGGAAGGTTTCCCACAGAAGGTGGCACCTGAGCTGAGCCTTGAAGGAAGCTAAGGATTCTGTGAGAGAGAGATGAAGAGGGCTTAGGAGCACAGCCTATGCAAAGGCAAGGAAGCAGGAAATCGGAGAGCTGAGGTCAGGGAACAACAAGGAGACCCTTTGAAATGTAGACTCTGTAAAGGAGGGCAGTATGAATGTGTGGAAAGGAGATTGTCTGGAGCCAGCCTGTGCAGAGCTTTAGATGCCAAGCTGAAGAATTTGTTTTTCATGCTAAAGGCAATAGGGGGCCACTAAAGATTCTTGACTTGGGAAATGACCTGGCCAGACTTGTGCTTTAGGAAAATTGTTTTCATAAACTGATGAGATTAATTGGAAGATGTCCTAGAGAAGGGAGAGGTGAGAAGTAGGAGGCAAGTTAGGAGGCTGTTGCAATTTTCTATTCAGGGGTAAAAGACCTGAACCATTGTGGTAATCATTTAAGATGGCAGAGGAGTTAATGGAGGCAGAATCAATAAATCTCATCAACTTATTGGATATAAGGAATGAGAAAGAGTTGGCATTAACTTCTAAGTTGTAAACCTTGGTGGAAGGTGGAAATGAGGATTCCCTCAACAAAATCAAAAAAATAAGAGAAAATAAGGGAGACAATTTTAAGTTTGAGTTGCCTTTATGAATGAAAATCAGGAGATAAAGGCTGAATATATAGTATATGACAGTCAATTGCTTACAGATGCTAGTTGAACCCATGGGAGCTGATGAAATCTCCAAGAGAAAAGCATATAGAAAGAGAAGATAGGAGTCCCAGGACTGGCTTTAGAGAACAGCCACAGGCCAGAGTCAGGACTTGGCTAACAGACCAACAAAAAGGACTAAGAGGAGCAGTTAGGTAGAAGAACCAGATTATATTTGGTATCACATAAACTGAAGGAGAAAAGAATATCTAGGAGGAGAGAACTGTAGTAGCTGTGTCAGTAGTTACAGAGAAGTCAAGGAGGATGAGGCTTGAGAAAAGGCCATCAGGTACCACATCACGCCTATCGGATTGGCTAACATGACAAAACAGGAAAATGATAAATGTTGGTGAAGATGTGGGGAAATTGGAACACTAATGCATTGTTGATGGAGTCCTGAACTGATCCAACCATTCTGGAGAGCAATTTGGGACTATACCCAAAGGATTATAAAAGAATGCATACCCTTTGACCTAGCAATGCCACTAATAGGTCTGTATCCTAAAGAGATTGTAAAAATGGGAAAAGGACCCACATGTACCACAACATTTATAGCAGCTCTTTTTGTGGCACCAAGAATTGGAAATTGAGGGGATGCCCATCAATTGGGGAATAGCTGAACAAATTGTGGTATATGAATGTAATGAAATCGTGTTGTGCAACAAAACGATGAGCAATCGGACTTCAGAAAAACCTGGAAAGACAACTTGCATGAACTGATGCCGAGTAAACAGAACCAGGAGAACGTTGTACCCAGTAACAGCGACATTGTGCAATTACCTACTTTGATAGACTTAACTCTTCTCAGCAACGCAATGGTCTAAGACAGTTCCAAAAGACTTATGATGGAAAATGCTATCCACATCCAGAGAAAGAACTGTGGAGTCTGAATGCCGATGGAAGCATGCTGTTTGCTCTCTTTTTTTGTTGTTTTGTTTTGTTTCTTCTTTCTTGTGGTTCCTCCCATTTGTTCTACTTCTCTACAACATGACTAATGTGAAAATATGTTTAATATGAATGTATGTATGGAGCCTATATCAAATTGCACACCGTCTTGGGGAGGGGGAGAAAATTGAAAAAGCAAAAGCCTATGAAAGTGAATGTTGAAAACTAAAAATAAATAAATTTTAAAAAGAAAAGGCGATCAGATTTAACAATTAAAATGTCTCTTGGGAGCCATTTGCTGAGAGTTCTCAGCTCTTGCCTATGACTTTTCTTTCCCTTCTTCTCAGGCTAGATATTCTACATGAGGTTGCCATATGGCAGAAGAACTTCAAGAGAATTGTGAGTGTCATATTAGTGGGTAGGGGCAGCATGGGGTAGGAGTGGACATTGTAGTAACTCCTCTCACACTCTTCTTTTCTCTCAAACCCCTCCCCCCCACCCAATCAGAGTTATGCCAAGACCAAGACCCGGGCAGAGGTGAGAGGTGGTGGGAGGAAGCCCTGGAAGCAGAAAGGCTCAGGCCGGGCCCGGCACGGGAGCATCCGTTCCCCAATCTGGCGAGGAGGTCAGTTTTGAGGATTTGGGGGTGTTGGGGACAAGGTACAAAAACATCTTTGGAGTCCGTGAGCCAAAGTGTCTGCAGTAGGAATATACTGGGCATTTATCAGACTCTCTCTTGCTTCCCATTCCCCCATCCCTACTGCAGGTGGTATTGCACATGGTCCACGGGGTCCAACTAGCTACTACTATATGTTGCCTATGAAGGTTCGAGTGCTGGGCCTCAAGGTAGCCCTGACAATCAAGCTGATGCAGGTACCAACTACTGCCCCTTACACAGGCAACAGGGAGGTGGACTGTAAGTGTCATCCCCTGGGAGTGGCCCTGATGTTCCTGGAAGAGGCTGGAAACCAGGACTCTGGCATCCTGATCCCTGGCAAGGGTTTTGATGCCTCTTTCCTGTCATAAACCAGAATGCCCCATCCATAAGAGGCTCTAGTTGTTGAAGGCTGACTTGACTCTAACCTCCCAGGACGACCTTCATGTGGTAGATTCCTTGGAGCTGCCAACCTCAAACCCAAGATATTTGTTAGACCTGATTCGGCACCGATGTTGGGGTGACTCTGTGCTCCTTGTTGATGTGTGAGTGGTAGCTATGGGCAGTGGGAGTGGTACCAATCTTTCCTTGGGCTCAATTTCCCCTACTCCAGCTAGGGCTTCAGTTCATGATTGGGTGGAGGATCAGAAGGGGCTCTGAGGCCTATCCAGAGCCTCTTCATTCTGGACATTCTCTGGGATGACTTGCTACTTACCCAATTCTGTGTTCCAGGGATGAGGACATGCCCCAGAACATTGTTTCTGCTGTATCCAACCTGAAGACCATCAACCTGGTGCCAGCAGTTGGTGAGTGGTGAGGGTCTGAATGGTCTAGCTTGGGGACCTTACTCATTTAGGAGGCCTCCCTTCTTTGTGAGTTGCTGGCCTGTGGGATTAGGCTAGATCTGGGAGCACAGATCCTGTGAGATGTATGATGGGATGTCTCCAACCTTGGCCTTCTTCCATCCTTACAGGTCTCAATGTCCACAGTATGCTGAAGCACCAGACCCTGGTCTTGACTCTCAACACTGTTGCCTTCCTAGAGAAGAAGCTGTTATGGCACGATAAGCGCTACACAGCGCTTTACCCATTCCGCCTGCCCTACAGCGACTTCCCTTGACCCTCCAGTAACTGGGCTTCCCCACTCTGGGTATATCAGAAAAAAAAAAGTCTTTGTCACTTATTGCCGCCTGCTCCCCGTCTTTGTTAAATCTGAAACCTGAATTGCTACATTCTGGCAAGTGTCACAGAGTTCTGGTTCTGGTTCTGTCCTACTTCCCCAAAATACCTCCCTCGTTCTCCTTCCCACCTGCTCTTCTCCTTAGGCAGCCTCTCTTTTCCTCCAATACGGGTTGGGCAGTGAATCGGGCTGCCTGGCACCCTAGAGGAAATCCTAACTTTGCTTTCTTCCCTGGGCACCTCAATCTTGCTTCCGATCTCCCAACCATATATCCTTTTGGGAAGAGGAATCTGCCCTCAAACCCTCAGGGCAGTAGAACATCTGTTTCCTTTTCTTCCCTTGCCCCTCCTTCCCACGCCCCCACCCCTTCACCTTGAAACTTTGCTGGTTGATAAAGGGGACAACCCCACATAGCCAGTGAAGGACCAGGGTGAGACCTCCTTCATTTCTCCCCTACCTCCAATACTTAACAGATAAGTTTAGAATCAGGACTTGAGTACCTGCCCTCCCCTACCCCCTCACTTAATTCTTGACTGCAGACTTCCCCAGGCATGGTCAGGAAGGGATGATGAAAACCTGGGGAGTCTGAGAACTCGAGAAGTCCCGCCATCCCAGCGCAGCCGCTTGGGGCCGCTCTTGGCCACAAGTCCTGGGGTTAAGGTTCAGATGTGCATTGTTCAGTTTAGCTTGGGGAAACTTTCACCTAAAAATAACCTGTACATTCCCACCCTACAGCTTAGGATTTTCCAGACCCACAAACCTGAGCGTGGATTTTCCAAATCCCAGAAGATCCCGTGGTTTAATTAATTTTCCCATGCTCCTCCTCCCTCCTAACATTCCCCCCAACATTCCTTCGGAGACCATGGAGTGTTAGCCTGGCAGAAACCTTTGGGCTAGGGAGGAGGAGGGGAAGGAATGGGGCAGTTGGATCTCGTTACTCAAGGACTTGATGATAGGGAGTGGCTGAGTGTCTCACTTTTCCTGCACGGGGGGGGGGGGGGGGGGGGGGGGGGGGGGGAATTTATATTAGAATTAGATTGTTTGTTCAACTCGGGTTGGTACTCCAGAAATGGAAGAGGGTTGGGGCGGTCCCCTCTTGGGGTCTCCGAGGAAGTGAGGGCTCCGGAGATGAGAACACAGCCCTCCAATGTCACCGCATTCCCGGTATGGGTCCACCTCCCCTTCTCTTTCTGCGCCCTGTGGACACCATGACAACAACCCCGTTGAGTCCCACAACAGGAAACTGGGGATGGGGGGAGGCTGTAAGACCCAGTCTTAGGGGGAAGGGGAGAGCCGAGGTGTCTCTGAGCAGTCTAGCAGACCCTCCATCAGACAGATAGGAAAGGGGCCCCTAAACTTCTAGAATCCATCGAGTTCCCCTCCCCCATAGTTCCCAGTTCTGCAGTGGGTGGGTTGGCAGGGACCATGACTCAGGGGTCACAGGCTCAGCCCATCCATGGAAGGGGGCTCTGAGATAGGAAGGAGTGATCCCAGGCTTCCTGCTCCATTTCCAGCGGCTAGGCCTATTCTCAGGATTTCTGGGTTCAGGCAGCTCCAATAAAACAGTCCTGGTTCAGGTGACTGCTCCCCCGCTGCTTAAGCTACCAGGAGTGGGGCGGGCCCCTGTATGAGTTCCCGCGGAAGCCCCGCTTCCACCTGGGCTGTCTTTGCATTCCCGGTGTAGGCTCCTCATGCCTCTGGAACAAAATCCCTCTATTCTTTGCACCTCGATTTTCTCCTCAGAATAGGGGCACATTGCTGTGAGGTTTGAGGGAAGGGGCGGAGAAGTCTGTCTTCCCTGGTGACAGGGCTTAGTTATGCGGAGGCGAACTATTCCAGGGGCCAGCGGCTGATCAGCTCGTCATTGCAAAAGTGCCTTCTTCCTCTTTCTCTGAACTGTGCTGTCGACCCCGGGCCGGCCGGGGCAAAGGAAAATTTAGTACTGGGAAATGTGACAACAGCGTCTATAAGGGACCAGGTGGTTGTGACCCTGGGTTGTCAAAACAGTGTCACTCCAGGTGACTTTATGCTCCCTACTCCCACGGCCGCCTCACAATGCTGCTGCTAGAGCTTGTACAGTCTCTGCCCGAGGCTCCAGCGTTTCTCTGGAAAAGTTGCGCGTTACGCAACCTGCTTTGGTGAGGAATAGGGGGAAAAGAGAAGGGAGGGCTACACTCTTATTCTTCACAGCAGTCTGAAATTCCTGGGTCCTGACCCAATCACCCTCCTTCCCCTGTCCCTTCCAGTTCCATCTGCTCTGGCAACTCCCCCTTCCCAAGGTTTAATTAGAAGACTCCGGGAGCAGAAAATAGGAAGAACTTTCAAAAATAAAACCAGAACACTAGGAACGCAAACCCTGGATCTAAGCAAAGAATACATTTTGAGTGGGCCAGATACATTAAAAATCCTGAATGGGTTAAAAAAAAAATAACGGTAATCAATAGATTTGCCGGATCCTCAATCTCATGTGGGTGGAGGTAGGCCAGGTGTCATCTTTCTCTTGGATATGATTCTTGGCTTCACTCCCAAAACCCGCGGCTGGACTCTTGTTTGTCCTCCAGCGCGCTCCCCCTACCCCACCCCTAATGGTCCGCACGCACTGTGTGACTTTTCTTTGGAAACTCCTGAACTGGGAGGGACTGATCCCCTACGCGTCTACCCTCCCACCCCCCATCCGGAAATACCGGGCAACTTGCTCTGGAGGGGAAAGCGTGAGGTTTCCCGGAAGGCAGCACCGCCTTCCCCCTCCCTCGCTCCAGCCCAGCCCCTAATCACCAGGGGGAGATCATAAAAGGAGCCCCGCACCTCGTCTTCGCATTCTGACCAACCCTCTCACTCTGGCTCGTGCTCTGACTCCCGCGCCAACATGCAAGTCCTCAGGCTCCTTCCCGCTCTGACTGCGGTCTTGTTCCTGTCCCTACTCTTATCCTCAGGTGAGGGTCTCGATCTTGACTAGCTCCTTCCCATCCGGCCCTGTCTCGGATCGCTAGCTTTGCCTGGGGAGGGACCGACAGGAGAGCTGCGGGGAGGAGGAGGCAACATCCTTAGTCGTTCTGGGCTGGCATCCAGCCCCGGAGCTTCAGTTGACTACTCTGGGCTAGGACTGAGGGTAGGAAGGAACTTAACTTTTGAAGTCTCCAACTTCAGGTGGCAGGTAGGGTAGAAATGAGTGAAGTCCCACCACCTGCTGACCTTAGACTCCCAAGAGGGTGAGGGCGGGAGAGGGAGCACGACGGTGGACTGAGTTGGGCTGGGAGGGAGCTTTGTGACTCGGAGTCCTAATGCACCCTGCCCACCCCAGAATCTTTTCCTCATTCCTCAGACGCCTTCTCTTCCCCTCCCGTTCCCCCACAGGGGAGAAGTTGATGGTGGCCCATGGCGGGGGAATTCCAGGGCTGGGTTCCCCTCGAGGAAGTGCAGAGTCAAAAGCGCCCAGTCTTGGGGTGGGGCAAACCCTGGGGGAGTTCCCTTCAAAACTCCTGAGATTAGTTCCTGGGAGATGAGTCAAAATGTATGGGTTGGGGGTGGAGGGATAGAAGTGACTCAGTTCCCAGGGCCAGACTTAGGACCCGGGCTCTATGTTTGCAGGAGCCCAGGAGAACCTGATCAAGCCGCAGGTCTGGGTGCATCCCCCAAACCCCGTGATCCTCTCTGGCAGTTCAATAGTCATGAACTGCAGCACCGATTGCGTCAATCCCACTAAGATCGGCCTGGAGACTAGGCTGATGAAGATCCTGGAGGGTGACGGGCCGAATTGGAAAGCCTGGAGGCTGAGGAATGTGACCTGGGATAACAGTCCCCTGTGCTATGTCAACTGCCCCGGGCAGAACCAAGGCAGCACCAGGGCTAACATCGAGGTTTATGGTGAGTGAAATCGAGGTGCTGGTTTCAGGAATCGTAGGACTAGGGCTCTGGTTTGGTGAATGACAACCAGGATAGGCAAGTAGGGATTGGGGAGGGGGTGCGTCTCAGTTAAGTAACAAGGAAGGGGGTGGCATGGTAGTGGTTAGCATGAGCTAAGAGAGTGACTAGCCGGGTAAAAAGGGCTTGGTTTGGCAGGCAGCAAATACTCAGTCACCTGCATCTTTGCTTAGGAATTCACTTCAACAAAACAAATATTTAATGCCATTGACTCTATGCCAGCCCCTGAGGTAGGCAAAAAAGAATGTGAGACTCGATGAAGCAAGGCCCTGCCCTCAGGGAGCTCACAGCCTGGAGATGAAACTGGGAAGAAAACTGCAGTTTGACAGGCAAGCTTGCCACAGGAAAGGCAGGGACCAAGAAAGAGTTGTCAGGCATTCAGAAAAAGTCAAATCCAGATGAGTGATCAAAAATGAACATTGGAACATGAGCGATGTCCCTCTCTTCCTGCGACCCATTCAGGCTCCTACAGACTCTGAAACAAGCTACCTTGAAGAGGGCTGAGGCTGCTTTGCCCCAGCACTTCAAAGCCCCAACTTTATTCTTTCCACATTCACTGGGCAAACACTGAGCATCTACTGTGTTCAGAATATTGTGCTGGTCACTGGAAGAGATACAGCTTGAGATAAAACATAGCCCCTTCCTTGCCCTTTACACTAAACACAATACAAAGTATTATCTGGTAAGTGAAGCCCACATGGCCTGGAGCATGGAGGGCATATAGTGGAATCAGATTGTGGAGTGTCATGAAATACCAGGATGAGGGATTTGGGCTTTATTTGATAGGTAAGAGGGAGCCATGGAAGGTTTTTTGAGCAGAGAAGTGATATTACCAGAATCTGTCCATAAAGAGGGTTTTTTTGTTGTTGTTGTTGTTGTTGTTTTTGGAGGGAGAGGAAGCCATGTGAAAGATAGAATGGAGCTGAGAAAAGAAGAAAAAGGAGAATGTAGGTGGGAAAATAAGTTAGAGAACGCTTGCAATCTTTCCTTTAGTAGAGCAGTCTGCTCTGACAGCCTTGAACTAGAGTATGCTTCCAGCCTGCCCCAGCTACAGAGAGTAAAATTCACTAGGGAGCTTCCTTCATTAACAGTAGTACCACCTTCCACAGCTCTTCTGCAAAGAAATCTGAGCTAAGGGCAGAGCTGGACTAAAAAGTTTTTAAGGGCAAATTGTACAAACTTTGCTTCTGGCACCTTTCACCTTCCAGAAATCCAGTCTTCCATTCAATTCTTTTTGAGTTGTATTTCTCCAATCAATAGTGAGTTAGAGTATTTTTTCATAAGGCTATAGATAATTTTGATTACCTCACCTGAAAACTGATCATAACTTTTGATCATTTATCAATTGGGGAATGGCTCTTATTTTTATAAATTTGACTCAGTTCTCTATATGTTTGAGAAATGAATCCTTTATTAGAGACTTGCTTCAAATTTTTTTTCACAATTACTATTGCTAGCTATATTTCCCTCCATCCTATCCCTCCCCCCAATTATTCTATTCTCTCCTTTCACCCTGTCCCTCCTCAAAAGTATTTTGCTTCTGACTACACCCTCCCCCAATCTGCCCTCCCTTCTATCACCCCCCCCCATCCCCTTCCCCTCCTACTTTCCTGTAGGGTAACATAGATTTCTATACCCAATTAAATGTGTATGTTCTTCCCTCTTTGAGCCAGTTTTGATGAGAGTAACGTTCACTCCCTCCCCCTCACCTTCCCCTTTTCCACTGTATTTGGAGGGTTTGGGGGGAGAGCATAGACAAGTCCTAGCCTTTACTCTGCCCATCTTCCATTCAACTGTGTTGAGATCCCCTCTGGTACAATTTTGCCTCTTTGTCCAGAAGCATTTACATACCTATTAAACCTAACCTAGCTCACTTGTCTTCCTCTTTTCCACAAGAATAGGGATTGGGATAGAGACTGGAACAGTGATTTCATTAGTATAGAGAACTCTCAGAGAAGGAAATTCCTTGCACCAAACCTTCTATTCTACAAGGATATAATTAACTATTTTTAAACCCTTTGCAAATTAGAACACATAACTCCCAGGTTTGTAAGCCCTCCTGAAAAATGAACCATGACCTTGACAAAGCCATACTGACAACTGTTAACTACAACTTCCTTTTTTTAATGTTCTCTAGCCATCTCTTAAATGACTTTTGCCAGGAATTGAAATCAAGCTTATTTTGTTGCTGTTGTTTTAATTAATAACTTCTGCTTTTACACCTAGTAAATATGCAAGTGCATCCCTTCCTTTCCCCCAGAACAAAAAGTCATTCACCATAATAAGAAAGAACAAATAAAAAAAGAGGAAAAAAACTGGAAAGCAATTCTGCAAAACCAACCAACACATCAACTGAGGCTACAGTATGTGTAGTGCTCTACATCTGTAGTTCCCTACCCATTAGCCAAAGGAGGAAGGTGCATTGTCTCATTTCCTCTTCAGGGCCTCACTGGCCTGAAGTTAGCAAAATTCTATTCCCTGCAGTTTGCAAATTCTATTTTCCTAGAGTTTGCAAATTCTACCCTTCCTCCCTTTCTAAAATTCAGCTTTATTTTATTTTTAGTTTCAAAGTCATTCCCTCCTCCTGCCCTCCACCCTACCCATTGAGAAGGCAATAATACAATACCCATTATAAATATGAAGCAATGCAAAACATATTTCCATATCAGCAATGCCTCCTTTTTTTGAAGGGGAGGCAATTGGAGTTAAGTTACTTACCCAGGGTCATACAGCTAGTAAGTGTCTTGAGGTTGGATTTGAACTCAGATCCTCCTGACTCCAGGGCCAGAACTCTATCCACTCCAACACCTAACTGCCCCTGCCCCATTCTTTTTGAAACTGAGAAGCTGTTTTTCTCCAATCCTTTTAATCTTCACATATTCTCTGATCATTCAAATATCCCAGACAGCGGTTCAGCAATGGCATCTACCAGTCCTTTCACTAGGGGATGAATATATCAGTCAGGTGACCTGCATTCAGAAAGTGCCATTAGGGACTTTCTTACTATCTCCTTATTATCTCAGGTATTAACATCCTTTAGCCATCCTTGTTTTGTCTTTTCCAGTCCAAAGGTCATTCTTCTTAGCAGAAAAAAAAATGAGGGGCAGCTAGGTGGCACAGTGGATAGAGCACTGGCCCTGAAGTCAGGAGAACCTGAGTTCAAATCCGGCCTCAGACACATAACACTTACTAGCTGTGTGACCCGGGGCAAGTCACTTAACCCCATTGCCTAGCGCCCCCCCCCCAAAAAAGGAAAAAACTGAGCAAAAAATGAATAGAATAGAATACCTTCTCTCACTTGCCAATTGTCTTTGTCCCTTCCATGTACAGCATTGGCCTGATTTATCCCTTCTTTAATCTTCCTCTTTTCCCCAACGCAGCTTAAATATCCAATCTTTTCTTTCGTCTTTAATTTCTTCCCAGGCCTCAGCTCATTTTCTTGCTGTTATTGTTCCGGAATCGAGCCATACTTCTGTATCCACCCTCCATTTCTTTCCCTTGTTGCTATCTTCAGTATATAACTTTAAAAATCTATATTGAAGAGCTCTCTATATATCCAAACTGGTCTTTTTAAACAACTTCTATTTTTCCACGTCATTGGAATTGTTTCCTTTTGTGTCTTCACAGTCGCCTAGAGACAGCTAGGTTTCAAAGTGAATAGAGTTCTGGTACCAGACTCAGAAACACTTACTAGTTTACACATTTACTAGGTGTGTGACCCTAAACAAGTCTCTTAACCTCTTTCTACCTCAGTTTCCTCAACTGTAAGATGGAGATAATCCTAGCACCTACCTCCCAGGGTTGTGGAGAGAATCAAATGACATAATATTTGTACACTGCTTAACACAGTGCTTGGCACATAATAGGTGCTTAATAAATGTTTGCTCCCTTCTCCTTCCCCCTTCAGAATTTTATTCTTGAGAGTTACTCATCCCTCCTCAGCTGATTTCTCTAGTAAAATTTTAGTCCATGGCATCATACCTCTCCTTTCCCTTCAAGCCTTGGAAATTTGGTTTCCCCAAATCAAGGCTGCATGTCAAACTACGCCCAGTTTTCTTATTTCTATTAGAAATTTTAAGATGTAGTGCTTATATTCCCTTCAAAGTTTCTATCATTTCCACTGTCAGCAACCTATTCATCCCTGTTAGTGAAAATCACATCCAGAATTAAATTTCCCCTTGTTGGTTCCCTGATTGTTTGTAATTATTTTTTTCCTATGATCAAGTATTTATTTTTTCTCTCTAACCTCCCTCTTGGGGGAAAAACACAAACATGGCTCTCGTAACACATATTCACAATCACATCAAACAAATTCCAGTATTGGCCATGTCCAAAACTGTTTCCCATTCTGAATATTTAGTCCATCACTTCTTGGTCAGAAGTTAGTTAGAATTATTTATCATTAGTCTTCTAGAATCATGACTGACCATTGTGTCCATCAGAGTTATTGTCTTTAAGTCCTTCAAAAATTGTTCATTTTTTACCATTTCATTTGTTACAGTATAAATTGTTCTGCTCACTTCACTCCACCCATTCTTGTAAGCTTTTCCATTTCTTACAGCCTCACAGTATTCCATTACATTTATACACCATGATTTGTTTGGCCATCCCTCAATTCATAGGCATTTACCTTAGTTTCCAGTTCTTTGCTTCCTCTACCTTTTAAAGGATGATTTTCACTGAAGAGAAAACTGCAGCCCAGAGAGGATAAGTAACACGACCAAACTCACACAGTAAGTGACAGAATGGAGCTTCTAATGACAGCCATTTGGTTCCCCTTTCCATCAGACAGTTAACAATGGCAGAGCAGAACCTCACAGAAGAGGTGTTGAACAACAGAGACGGCTCAGGGAAGAGGGACCAGCTGTGTGACCTTGGCTAGTCTCTTTCCTTCTCTGGCTTCAGTTTCCCTCTTTATAAAATAGATAGATGATAGATGGATGGATGGATATAGGTAGATGGATAGATAAACAAATGGATGGATAGAGTATGTATTAAGTTCTTACTATGTACCAGGCACTGGGCTAAGTAGTAGGCATACAAATATAAGTAAACAAGATGGTCCCAACTCTCAAGAAGCTTATATTCTAATAGAGGGAAGAGAATACATAAAGGGGATCTGGAAAGGGAATAGGGGAAGAAGGTACCCTACTGGAGGCAAGACAACTGTTGCAGATAGGGAGATGTTTGGAGAGTTGAGCTGGGAGTAAAATGAGCATACCTGGGGCTCTTCATGAAGTAGTAATCTGACCTAGGGACTCACTGGTCAGGGGGTTAAGCCCTTCCAGATCTGATATCATTCTTTGTTTTAAGACCCATTCCAGTTCCATGATTCCTTAGGTGACTTGGGCTTTTGGTAGGCAGAGAAAATAAGAAAGGCATTGTTTGGCAAAGGAAGGCAGGTGTCAGCCTGGCAGAAGCAGGACGATGTAGATAAAGAGCAACGATGAAGACCTGGGAAGCTCCATCCAGCTTGCCCTACAATGCAAAGCAAGAAACCTTCTAGAAGGGGTGGGCTGGTAACCAGTCAATGCCCTTTCCCACTTGCCTATTTCTAGTTCCTTTTCTGCCCTCCAGAACCACCAAAGAACCTGGAGCTGAATCTAGAGCCTTCTCAGGAGCAGTCTTCTCTCCCCTGGATCTTTGTGGGCCAGAACATCACTTTAAGCTGCCATGTGGCAGGTGGGAGACCTCGGGAGAATCTGATGGTGGTGCTGCTTCGGGGAACCCAGGAGATAAGCAGACAGCCTGTCCCAGACAATACCTTTGACACCGTTATTGTCAAATTCTGGGTCATAGCCAGTAGGAAGGATGATGAGGCCAACTTCTCCTGCCATGCTGAGCTGAACCTTCAGTCAAGGGGACTACAGCTTTATCAGAACAGCTCAGCGCCCCTGAGGTTCTACACCTTTGGTGAGGGGCTGAGGGGGGAGGTTGAAGGGCAGACTTGGGGACCAGGTAGGGCAGAAATTCCCAAACTTATTTGGCCTACTGCCCCATTTTTTTTTAAATCACTCATTCCCCCCCTGGAAATCTACTTTCACTAAAAAAAAAAAAAGAAAGAAAGAAATCTACTTTCTTTAACCCTTTAATAGTCTTTTTTTAAAATTTGCATCATTTAATAAAATACAATTTTTTAAAATGATGCATCTTAAATTTAATAATTTATTGTAAACTTGTAGAGATTTTTCCTGCATTGAAATTTTGATGACACAACATTATGTCATGTAACCATATCAAATTGTAAACAAGTCATTACATGCACATATTCCTGCCGATGCATGCTGGAGTTCCCGACAATTCACGACACATTCACCGGCCAACACTTACTTGTCAAGATCTGTCAGCAGACTTGACTATTGATCTGTTATGACTTGTATTTTGTGTGTTTATTTGGAAAATAATGTAATCACTACGACTTAAACTCTGTTACACAACAGATGAAACGTGTAGGAACGGTTTTTCAAAATTCTCTTCTTTCCTTATGCTTCCACCACCCCCTTATTTTTATTCAACATCCCCCCAGTTGCACCCAAGGCTACTACCATCCCCCTGGATCATTCCAGTGCCCCACAGGGGGTGGTATTGTCCACTGTGGGAACCTCTGGGGATAGGGGGAGAAGCAATAAGGGCCCTGGGAGGATTATGGCCACATTGATGGTGACTCCTTTCCTCACTCACTGGTCTCCATCTCTTCTCTTTTACTTTTCCCCCTTTCCTCCAAGCCCTGGCACAAGAGCCCCCAGTGCTTGTGACCCCCAAGCTCCTGGAGGCTGGGACCAAAAAGCAGGTGAGCTGTGAGATGGACAAGCTGTTTCCAGTGGAGAAAGCCCACATACAACTGTCCTGGGGAGGGCAGAGGCTGATTCAAGACATTACCCGACATGGAGACATGCTAAGGGCCACAGCCACAATCATGGCGGCAAAAGAGGAGAAAGGTGATAGAGAGCTGACCTGCAACGTGAGACTGGGAAATGAAACCAGGAATATATCAGAAGACCTGACAATCTATAGTAAGGATGGAAAGGCATCAGGCTGGGGTGGCCTGGTTTGAGGGGGAGGGGGCAGGGGGAAATGAAAGGATTAGTGGAAGCAAGGATCACAACTCAGGTTCCTCTCCTGTAGCCTTCCCACAACCTCGTCTGGTGGTCAGTGAGCCCATCCAGGAAGGATATCGAGTAAATTTGACCTGCGCGGCAGACCCCCCGGCCACGGTAATGATTGAGGGAGCCCCACGTGATGAACCTGACAGGATATCCCTGATAGTCCAGGAGAAGGACAATGGGCGCTTGTTTACCTGCCAGGCCACCCTGAAATTGCAGAAAGAGACGCTGCATAAAAACAGCAGCCTGAATCTAAATGTCTTATGTAAGTGAAGACCCCCCCACCTCAACCTCTGACCCCTTACCTTTTTGCTGCCAAGGCATTGACTTTTCACTCCCTCCTCTGACTGGAACTCAGTATATATTGGGGGAGGAGGGGAGGAGACACAGCTGGTACTCAGCACTAACCACCCTGTTTTCTACAGTCCCCCCAAAGCTGGATGAGAAATGCCCAGGAAACTGGACCTGGAATGAGGGGACTGAGCAGACCCTACAGTGCATAGCTAGAGGAAATCCAGACCCCACCATGAAGTGTGTCCCAGAAAACCAACAGACCGGGATGCCATTTGGGATACCAACAACTGTCATCCGGGCCTACAGTGGCACATACCGCTGCACTGCTAACAACTCACTGGGAGTAGCCAACAAAGTCGTGTCAGTGGTTGTGAAGTGTGAGTGACCAAGTTGCTGACCAGGGAGGGCCGGGAGGATGGATCCCTTACTCTGAGGGGCTGGGAACAGAATAAATTTCATCTCCTGGAAGGCAGGAGAGCTTTTTTTTTTTTCTTTTTTATCCCATCAATGAGCACAAGGCCCTATAGTAACTGGATAAATGATTTCAATGGAATAGATAAATGTGGCACAACATTTTAGGTGGGGCATAGACACAGTAGAGAAACCCAGGCACAGACTAAGATGGGGAGGACAGTGAAGGCTCTGCAGCTGGGGAATTGTCTGAAGAAATTAGAAATAGTCAGCCTGGAGAAAAGAAGCCTTAGGGATGGAAAGGCAGGAAAACTATACCTATTTTACTATCTGAAGGGCTGAAGGGTTAAAGAATCTCCCTTGTTCTGCTGGAGCCAAAGGCCAAAATGAGGAGAGGGGTGGGGAGGAAGATTTAATCTCAACATCAGGAGGAAAAAAAAAACAAAACCTTCCTAAGAATAGAACGGGCTGCCTCAGGGGTGAATTCATGTTCACCTTCACTGGAGGTGTTTTAGCCTAAAGAATTGGTGCCTCCCGGTCATGGAAGCTTTAATAAGGGTACTTCCCCTCAGAGAACTTTGATAGGATTTGCCCTGAAGTCCTGTCCAATTTTGGGGTGTTGGGCAAGACAGAACCATGGAATACTCATTGAACCATCCTTCCAGTCCAGGATGTGAACCTGAGACCAATTCTCATCGGCACACTGGTCAGCATGGTGGCTGTGGGTATTGTGATCTCCGTGGGATATGTCTATTACCGGCAGCAGCGGATTAGAAGTTATGAGCTGAAGAAGGCACAGGAGGCTAGGGCCTTGCAGCCTATCAAGACAGAGGACAAACTGTGCCCCTAGATGGTGTACCACCTTTCCCTGAACAAGCACTTTTTTTGGAGAGTCGGAGGGCTGGCTAACCACCTTGTTGAAGAAACTAGGATGTGACCAAAGCCTGAAGCCAGGGCCAGGAAGTTGCCTGACACTCTTCCTGGGTCTCAGGACATGTGAGGTCTAGCTTGATCTCTGGGCCTGAGGTAGCCTGAAGCCCCTTTGGAGCCACATACCAGGCTGGGCTGGGTATGACTGGATGATGGGAATGGGACTCAGGAACCCAGGGAGGGGAGTTGTAGGGCTGAAAAGAATGTGACTGACTACTGATCACCTGAGCCTGAGAATGGACTTGGGGATGTACCCAATGACATTGACATGGGAGCATAAGAAGGCTCGTGTGGAGCCTTGAGCCAGCACGGAAGGAAACACTAGCTGAGGACTGACTGACTGACAGCCTCAACACCTTGGACCTGGAGAGAGATGCTGGAATAAGATAGAAAGGGGTATCCTCACCCATAGCTTGTCCTCTTCTCTACTCCTTCCAATAAAACTTGACCAATGTCTCTGACTCTACTTCTGGGGCAACCAACAAATTGTCTCAAGTCACTACCCTCCTGATCCCCAGGCTATTTCACCTAACCTTGGACCTAGTGGAAACCAAAAGCATTGGGTGTGGAGTGGTTGTCACTCATTGTAAAACAAGGCCAGCAGATATACACAGTGCCTACTCATACATGCACAGGCCCTGAAACACACACACACACACACACACACACACTCATGCACAGAGACAATAACTGTTTGAAGAGCGTCTACTCCACTATGGGACAGCTGTCCTTAAGTACCTCTTTCTGACATTGAGCTTATCAGCCTTTCTTTGACTTTTACTTATTTCTCCTTGTTCTACCCTCTGGGACCAAGCAGAACATTCCTGATCACTTGATACTCTTTAATTAATTGAAAGCACCTATTAGTCCCCCTCCCCCACCTTCTCTTCTTCAAATTAAACATTCCCAGTTCTTAAAAACCAATTCTTGCTAGGCATGGTGTCCCATGCCTGTAATCCCTGCTACTAGAAGAGGATGGGGTTGGTGGATTGCTTGAGTTCTGAAGTTTTAAACTGCAGCGGGGCTAAAATAAATAAATAAAGTAAGTCCAGCACCTTCAATGGTAAGCCTGAGGAGTAGAGGCCCAGGAGGAAGAGTGAATTTCCCCAGGTTGGAAACAGAGCAGGTTGATGCTTCCATGCAGGGCCATGAGTGGTTACTGCATTTCCAGTCCAGGGGAAATTGGGAGACCCTGTCTTGAAAACAAACAAAAAAGCCACATGGCTGGTTTGCTAGTGTGTTTCCTAAAATGAAGCACCAGAAATGAACACAATGCTGTACACTTAGCCTGATATGTCAAAGGACAGCACGAGTCTCACCCCTGAGTTAAGCCCAAGACTTTCCATTTTATCTTATTTGATTTTGCTGGGATGTTCTAAACTGTCAAGACCTTTTTGGAATCCTTTCATCCAATGTCTCAGCTATTACTGTAGCTGTTTCGTGGGCAAAGGTGATAAGCAGGCCAAAAAAACTTAAATAAAGGCATTTAACCAAGTCACAGATAAAAGTGCTAGATAGCATCAGCCAGGCCAAATGCAGAACCCTGAGGTTCTTTGCTAAAGACCATTTCTGAACAGGCATGGAGCCATTAATCACTGACTTCTGTGGCAGGCCATTCAGCTAGCTATGAATCCACTTAATTTTAAGACTGCCCAACTCTCCATTTCCAAACTGTGTGGCTTGGTGCTGGAGTAAACTCACAAGTATAGTGTATTTAAAATTTTTGACTTTAATAAATACGACAGTTAATTTTGGGGGGGGGTTGCCTAGGGGTGCTATAGAAAAATTCCTGAGACACTAAGAGTGGGTGCAGTGAACTGAGAAAGCTTGAGAACCTCCAGCTTAGCCTAAATCTCTCTTTTTTTTTATCCATGAAAATATCATGACTTTGTCAAAGTGTTTTGCTAAAATTATATATCTACTGTAGCCCTCTGATAATTCTACTTATTTAGTAACCTGGTTGAAAAAGGTGATGAAGTTAGTTGGACATGACCTCTTCTTCCTCTGACACTACAATTCTGATCTCTCACCTGATGGCACATGGGATACCTATCACGTCCCTTGGAGGACAAGTGACTACTTCCTGACCCCATTTTGGAAAGAATGCCATATCTATGACTTACCTCCAATATATTCAGTGGTCTTTTCCTCTCTTCTTTGCTGCTTCAATTCCCTGAATTCCACCTCTTCTGGTCCTTCCTCTTCTTGGTTTTTATACTGACACCGTTTTTTTAAGCAAATATTTAATTTTATTTTATTATAACTTGGAGAGGGGTGAGGCATTCCTATTCCTCAAGTCCCTTTACTATCTCCTCTTTTAAAAGGAAGACCAGCTTTCACTCTAGCACACATTCAAACATTCCCCCCCACACACACACATACCTCCACCACCACCACATCCCAACCTTCTGTCACATGTCCACAGATCCAGTTACATACTTGCCTCCACATAGAACTCCAGGGACTCTGCTCTGATTCATCAGGTTCAATGGCCAGGGTAGGGGATTGGAGGAAGGCTATATCTAGATGCACCCCCATCAGACAAACTCTGTCAGGGAGTGAGGGAGAGGGTGACTCTGATCCCTCCTCTTGGCTAGGGTGGGGCCAAGGTGGGGCTGTCTTTGAACTTATCTCTGTGCCTTCGGAGAGGCCCCTCAGTTCTGGGATCCTTGCCATGAGAGCATCCTCCCCTCTTGCCTTACTAATCCTGCTGCCGCTGGTAGCCACTGGTGGTGGCCAAGGTGAGAAATGGAAGGGGGGGGAGTCAGTGGTTCCTGGATAGGACGTGGTGGGACCAGAAGGCCAGGAATGAGAGTCTGAGCTAGAACTTTAGCAGACACCTTCTGTGCATACTTCTCCAGCAGTCCTGTAGGCACAGAAACTGGGGTGGAAAGATGGGGGATTGTACTAGGAATCTGAAGAGGTCTCCTTCACTCTCTAACTTCTTTCCCAGGGCTCCTGGAGAAGGTAATGGCCTCAAGACTAGCTGTTGTGGGGAGAAAATGTGTGTGTAAGGTGAGGTGGGAATGATAGCCTAGTAGCCCTCATCACCAAACTCCACCTCTGTATTTATCTCTCCTCACCTCCCACTGGAGGTGTTCTGTACCTCTTTGTATATCTGGCCTGGCTGGAATAAGGCTAGGAGTATTCTAAGGGTCTGTCCCTCCTTCTGCCTACTCTTCTCTCCCTAAAGGACTTCCTTCGGTGCCTTCTTTGCTAGGGACCCCAGAGCATTTCTGAGTTCCTATCTGGCCTTAACAAATGCCAAGGTTAGTTTGGAATGATGAGAGTAAGAGAAAGTTCAGGAACATGGGATCTCAGAAAACCGCGACCCTCTCTTCATTGCTCCCTCCACAGAGGTCCATGGGCCTTTCTGGGTTCAAGTCTTGCCACCAGAGGTGAGCATACTTCCTGGCAGCTCTGTTTGGATCAATTGCAGCACAAGCTGTCTCCAGCCTGAAGCCTGGGGGTTGATCACTTCACTGACTCAGGGCAAAAAAAAGATAGGCCCAGGATGGGTTGCTTACCAGGTCCTGGATGTGAGGGCCTGGGATTCAGCAGCCCGATGTTTCTTTACCTGTGCTGGAGAAACCCAGGAGGCCACTGCCACAATCAAGACCTACAGTGAGTGGAAGGGGTAAATCTTCATTTTGGTTCAGGGCCCTGGATCTCAGAGAGACAGGGACTAACCAGAGAAGGAGCTGGGGATTCTAGGCTTGGGACCCTGGAGCATCCCAGGTGGTCATGGGCTGGAACTGGCTAGGCCCAAGGGAGGTCTAGGGCTCCAGGGTTGGGTGTATTGTGTCTATTGCTCCAGGGGTTAGAGATGAGGTGGGTGACTTGTAGAAGCCCATCTCCATCCTCCCTCTCCCTTTTCTCAGGCCCCCCACAGACTGTGGTCTTGGAACAGCCACCCCTCATAGATGTGGGCACTGAATATAAGTTTCACTGTCACGCACTCTTTGTCTTCCCTCTGGAGAAGCTAACTATGATCCTGAGCCTCGAAGGCAGAACCCTGTGCTCTGTTAGCTTAGCTGGATCAGGCTACCGCCTTGACTCAGCCAACGTGACCTGGACCTCCACACTCCAGCTACGCCTCCAAGACATGGGGCAGCTCCTGTCCTGCCACGCACAGCTTAACCTTAATGGCTTTCTGGTCATTCGAAGCTCAGAGCCAGTGAAGCTACAATTCCGAGGTGAGGCCCAGACAGGCAGAAGCAGGAAACATTAGGGTGATTTCTTATCTAGGGGAGTCCTGATTGTTGGGATTATGGAGGAGACTCCTTTCCCACTGCCCCCATCAATGTGGGGAAGGGGGAGGCTGGGTGGAAAAGGACAGGTAGGTACTGGGAGGAGAGGAAAATGAGACCTTGGGGAAGAGGAGGCTTCAGGGACTCAAAAGAGCCTGAAAGGGCAGAGGTAAGTAACCCCTGAACTCATCTCTCCACCCTTCCTCCCTCTTTTCTGCAGAGAACCCGATGTCTCAGGTGGTAGCCTGGGTTGCTTTAGCAGCCCTGGCTGGGCTCCTGCTCCTTATTTCAGGTGTGTTCCTCTTGCAGTCTAGGGGGCAGCTGCAGTCAGAACCCTTGTGCCCCTCTGGTGGAACCCAGGCAGAGAAGTTGTGAGGGACATTGATGTGTATGACAGCAAGAAATGGCTGGACCAACTACGGCAGGAAGCCAAGTCCTTAATAGTGCCTTCGACCCTACTGGCCTCCTAACAAGCTGAGAAGGATACCCCTCCTTCCGCCCCCCTCCCCTCCCCACAAGCTAGCAACCAGTACCAGCTTAAGTTTAGGGAAACAGAGTGACTCTTCTGGGCTCCAAGCTCCAGCCTAGGAACAGTCCTGGGTTCCACACTCTGGGACACTTCAAGCAGCAAGGAACTCGGCTGACAAACCTGGTGGAGAGGAAAGACTTCTATGGGAGCCTGAGGACACTTGGGTCCAAATCTACTTGCTAGCTGGGTGACCTTGGGAAAATTACTGAGCCTTAGTTTTTCCTCCTAAAAAATGAGAATAATCCCTACCTCACAGGGTTGTTGTGAGTAAAGTGCTTCTTAAACCTTAAAGACTATAGGGATGCTTGAGATAAGTCACCTCGCCTCCTTTCCCCGCCCTTTCCCCCCCTACCCTAACGCACTGGTAGAGCCCCAGACCACAGTCCGCTGCCTAATGAGTCACCCCCACACCTTTCACAAGGCAGACTCTAGACCAACAGCTTCCGGTCCCCGTTTACAGCAGAAGTCCCAGGGGTCTGAATAAGCCCAGTTCCGCCTCAAAAGCCCCAATCACCCCAGGTTGGGAATGGAAGACTGGACAGGGGGAACCAAGATAGCACTTCAATTCTTGCTCCTAGAAGCGCCAGAGCGGGAGGAGCCTCAACAAGAGAAGCCCAGCCGGGTGCCACTGTGACACTGTGACTTGTCTCCACCTGGCCCCCACAGCTGGGCAATTCTCTCTCCCGC